CGTCTGAATCTGCCCCGGCTCAGTCCGTCAAACAAAAGGAGTTATGCGCTTGTTTTAGAAGCAGAAATGTTAAACCTTAATCAACACTATTAAGGGTTTGTTCGTGACACAGCGTGCTTCACATTCTTGTGAGTTGTTACAAAGTTTGGCCCTTTCTCGCCCTCTTACCTTACGTTTCATAAGCATCAGTGCGATGTAATGTTGATCCATTAGCATTTGTTGCTTAGATGTTCGAAATTTTCCATTACGATGCCCGACATCCACCATAGCTGCAGTGAAATTATAAGTCTTTACCGTAAATTCTTCCAATGTCCGACCTTCTTCAAAACGAGACACGGCCTCCACCATAGCTCGATCAATCTTCTGACCCAAGGTCGAGAACCCGTGATTGAGAACTGAGGTGGCGACGTCACAGAATCGTTTGCACACGAGCCTCACGTGTGTAGCCAAGACATCGTAAGAGTAATGTTCGAAAATGAGAGCCAGCACCTCTGGCGGCAAGTCCGTGATGTGCAGTCCAGAGGGTTCCTGTTCCTGTTGACTGCAGACTCCAACTTCGTTGCTTTTTGACTTGTTGAAGGAAATTCGCCTGTAGAGCCAGTGCGAGTAAAATATTCACGGTTTACAATTAAAATCTTGTTCACCTTTCTCGCCACACAAGACGTCAACAGGCCGTTACTAAGAGACAGTCAACAATGAGAAGCAGACAACGTAGTACAACAATGCACTGATGTCATGTCTCGCAGTTTTATTTGTTTATTTATTTAGTGTTCTGTCTGACGACAGGTCCATACGAACAGGATCCTTCCATCCTTTTCTCGGACTGGGACCTGTTCATATACGTTCTTGGCAGATGATCCAGAAGTGGTTTGCCATTGCCTTCTTCTGTGTGTGAATGGAGTAATTGTTGGGTGTGTGTCAGTACCCACTTCAAAACGCAAATGTGCAGAAGAACGAAGTCTTGGAATCTAGAGCAGGGTTTTCCTTTCTGAATCCTAACTTGAGCTGCAATTCGTGTTGCATGCGAAGATGCAAATGTATGAATTCCATTTGTATTTTGATGAAGTGTCTTTTTAAGCATTGAAACGCAAAATATTTTTTCCTTCATGATGAATGGTCCAGTTAAACAGTATCAGGAGAAGAAAGCTTGATTATTATTGCTTGTATTTAAGTTAGAATATTTTGCAGACTTCGTACACATTATTTTTAGTCTGCCTACAATTTGCATTCGGATTTCGATTTTAATTTTCTTTGGACAGCGAAAAAGACGCAATGATCTCAGAAACAGAAGGTAGGAGTAAAACTACGTTTCATCGGTCCAGGAATCTCCACAAGATGCTGAAGGCGTAAGAATTGTGGGCAGGACTTATATCGAAAGTTTGAAGAGAAATGAGGAACCAGTAGGGCTGTGTAGCTTTGCTGTCAAAGAAAACTGTATATGCGGTTCTAACGAGTATCTCTAATAAGTGATTAGCAATCCTGCTTTGTATTCGGGATATCCCGGGTTCAAAATATTCATTTCAGAATATTTTCCCAGGGGGCAAAGGAATTCATTGATCCTCCCAATCACTTCCTTCCTCCCACTTAGTCACCACTCGCATTTTGTACGCAGTTCAGTTTCTTCTAAAAAGGATTCGGGGTTATTCTTGAAGTCCACAGACGACGACATTCATCAAGAACGCCGTTTGTAGTGAAGCCAAGTTCACCACAGAGACGGACGTGACGGAGATGACCCCAATGAATGTTGTAACCCCTCAGTTAACAAGGTCTAGCAGTAAAGCGGTAGGAAAGAGGTAATAAGAGAAATTTACACATGAAGATTGTCTAAGTAGAATTAAATTGTATTAGACAATCTCCCCGGTGGAAGGAGGACTTTTTATGTCGTATCCCTGGCAGGGAATCGTTGGGCCCTTGACTACCCGCGTCAGGATACGAACTGAAGATCTGCCGAGCGGATGCGATCTTGTCTGATGGCCTTGGAGCTCGTGAGTAGGGCAGCGTTTAAGGGTGAAAGCCCAAGAACAATCTTCAATCAGCTTTATAGATTTCCTTTATTAAGTGATAATAATAATGAAGAAGGTGCTACAGCATTGGTTGCTGTGCCGAGACGCTGGATCCTTCATTGCCACAACCAAATCGTGTAGACCGGGTTTTGAAAGTGAATATAAAGGCCTCGGCAAATGGACCTGACATGAGTTAATTACTAAAGAATTCCCGGTTTTCGTCTTTTGGCACATCACGGATCCACTGCCTCCACACTTACAAATTCCATTAGGTCAAGCGTGAACAGACATACACTAGGAGGAGCGATGCGTTAGGGATGGTCTGGCTGCTGCAGCAGCAGTCACCGAAATACCAACCATAAGGTTCCCACAGTGGAGGGTAGGTGTTGACATACATTCTCCAAGATCCCTATTGAGACAATATCCGAAGGGACCCTCAATATGTGGTCCGCAGTTCGGATGCGACAATCGATTACTAGCTAAGACTCTGTATATTTGTTATGCTAAATAAAAGCCATGTATCCATTTCGTTACTTTCATTTCATTCCCATATCCCAAAGAAAATATTACCCGCTAACGCAGACGTATTCACGTAAAACCCACAGCCGTGTCCGCGACACAGCCACGCCCCGAGTTTTTTAAATTCAAGTTGAATCTTGGTTACGTGGTCCCATTTGCTTGTCTTCATATCTGTGTCAAATTGAAACTGCTTTCGTATTTTAATCGTTATCCATATTTATTAAATAATTATTATTTCAAGATAAAGGTATTTCACGTAAACTAAATAATTGTTATACTGTTTAATCTCCACGGTTATCGCAATTAATTATACAGAAGGCTACAAAAATTAAAAGACTTAATGACGTATGAAAGAAACGGACATTGTTTTGCATACAGGCACACGCAACTTTAAAATAACATTTTGTTTGAGATACCATGGAATTTTGAACCGGACACAAAACAGTCAACGAAATGCTGATAGTGACCACTTAAGGCTTTTACCCTTCGTAGTGGATCTGAAACATTGCTAAATTACCAGAAAACACAATAACAAAGTGAAGTATCAAAGCACACCGAATTAATTTTTTTGGTAATGTGAAGTTTATCCCCAAGGGGATAGAACTATTTACTGATACTTTTTAAAATATGTTTGAGGATTTTGCTGAAGTTACTTTTTAAGGCATGATAGGTAGAGTCGTTATACGACTTTTGTACTTTCAGATTATAATTTGGCTTACAATTCTACAGGCAGAAGTTGAGGTTTGCGTGATTTTTCTGAGGCACAATAAGTACTTCTAAATAATTGACTAAATGAGGGTAGTCCACCTTTTTCCCTCGCTCGGACCAGAATGGTTTTCGAGTTGGGCCTAAGGGCCATGAAACTCCTCCTGTTACTATTTTTGCATTGTCGTTATCTTTAACCTTTTGCGGCCCGATGTCGGACTGAGTCCGCCACGTAGGTTACGAAAATTTACGTGATTTGGAGTCAAACGGAGGCTGGCAAACTGTGTCAGTATATCATTCAAGCCTTATTTTTTCCACTAGTTCTATGCTACTTTTCCTGGTAAGACTTTGTGTACCTGATAACAGTGAAAGGAAGCAGGAGAGAGAAGTCGTCTTATTCTTACAGGTGTCCAAGGAAGCCAGGATAGGCGAAGGAAGAGGTCTATGGAAAATTCTTAACAGAAGAGGTAGGATGGTGGGACACATTCTAAGGCACCCAGGATTGGTTAATTTGTTAATGGAAGGAACAGTTGAAGGGAAGAATTGTAGGGGAGACAAAGATTGGAATATGTGACGCAGATTTTTGAGGATGTGGGCTGCAAAAATTATGTGGAAATGAAGAGATTGGCGCAAGTTCTTATACTAAAATTTGTGATTGTTACTTAAATTTAAAAGAAATGTGTATACTCCTTGTTTAATAAGATATTGTTATTTACCATGAGAAGGCTAATATTCAGAATATGTTAAAGCTATTATATATGCACATAATAATGCATAAAGCCCTTGTTTCATAATGTGATTAAAGGAGTAATATGTTCAATGCCTGATTATACCAAACATCGTGATCAGTTGATTAGCATTCATTCTTTTCATTCCGGAAGTTATGGGCAAGAATCTTGGCTTAGAGAGCAGCAATTATGATGGCTTTGTCCTCGTTTCCCTCAGTTCCTTAAGACAATGAGGGGATTATACCTAAAGTTAGTACACGACCACTTCCCTCCGCATCCTTTACAACTGATTAATTTAATCTCCCTGCCATTCGACAATATCCTTCTTCGATTCAAGACCTTGGCTTTCAGTGCATTTTCCCTCCATTACTGATGGTCCTTAGCCCCTTTATACCAATTTCGTATTCCCATTTATTTTCAAATCCTCTTCAGCCTCATGTCTACGTCTCTTACGTGGTCTACCACTCTTCCTTCTTCCTTTATGTCCACGCCATCTTTGAGGGATTTTATAAATGTTACAATATAATACATCCTCTGTCTCCTTATTAGTTTTGTTTCCCAGCTTTCTCCTTCATTTATGGGACCACGGATTTTTCTAATCATTCTTCTATCGAACATTCTAAGGACCTTAATTTCTTCTGAAGTCTCTGTCCAAGAACACGGGGGTTCCGATAATCTAAATTCGATATTAAGTCGCTTCAATTATATGTAACACTACTTCGCATTGTTTTGTTCTTTTTCAAGTATTAAGAATATAATGTGTACTTTTACATTTGCTCTGCTCGCACTGACATCACAGAAACAGTCTCGAGCTGTTATGGCGGTTACGGTCGTATTTTCTTTGTGGTAAAGAAAAACCTCATCTCTCTCTTCTGTGTTTTAAAGTTAATAGATTGCACGGAAAGTGTAGCTTTGTGTTCTTACTCCTTAATTTGAAAGTCTGTTCTTCTGAATCTGCAGTCTTGTAACACAATGGGCTCTGGTGGGAATAAATAATGTGTTATGTAAACCACGTCTGTGGTAATGGCACTTTCTGGTGCTGTACTGCCCAGGTACCAGGCAGTTAGACGGCGCAAAGTCTTCTTTCAGGCCTGGCGTAGGATCTGTTAAGCTGATTCTGTATTAGATTTTATCTCGGAGACATGCCTTGATTTCCCCGTTTGATTACAGCTGTCACATTTTTCTATTACTCCGTATGTACCTTAACTAAATTCAAGTCCCTAGTTTTGTAATAATAATTTGTGCCTATTCATTATAATACTTAGAAGTACCTTACAAAATACAGCGAATAAATAAATACATCTGTTAACTGAAAGCATTGTCTGTCTCTTCATGGCATTTGAAAAGGTTTGTACTTCCCCAGGCACATGGCACAATTACCGGGTATATTGGGGCAACTCAGCCAAATTTACTTGTGCAATTTCTTTAAAATATCACACGTAGATCAGAAATCTATACAAAATTCTCAGTGTGTTACCTTCGTAATGACGTTTTTCTAAACGATGTTCATGAAGCAACAACATTTAATCTTCCCCTATTCCCATGAAAGACTGATGCACCTAACCGACGATCTGAAACAAGGAAAGAAGATGAAGTTCCAGGAATTAAAACGAGAAGCTGAGAATAGAGAAAACTGGAGAGCTCTTTTTGGGCAGAGCAATGGACTTGTCATAAGACAGAACACTGAATAATAATAATAATAATAATAATAATAATCCCATGAAGAGGGTTTCGTAACTCGAAAGATGTCGCCATAAGTGGATTTACTTAATACAAGACGCAAGGTGAAACTGCTGTGTGTTGATGGATGGTAAAATTAAACGTCTGTAAAGTAACTTATTTCAATATGACTTCTTGAGCAGATAATAACGAGAAGAAATAATTTTTCCTTGTGTGCTGAAACAACATTTCTCTTTTTATTTTTTGTAGCTCCTACATCAATTCCTAGTTTTCTACATAATTTTCATAAGGAAAGTAATTAAAATTAATGTGTTCGTGCAAACTACTGATTTTCCCAATCTAACATTTTTTTACGTTTCTCCTCCATCAATTTGTCTCTGTGTTTGAAGGTGTAATCGCTTTGATTCGGTAGGTTCTTGACGACACAAGTCGACATATTGGATCTACTAACATCCATGTTTGTCATCTTGCACCTGCAATTTGAAATATTAAAAGTGGAAACAAACCCTCTTTCATCATACATTAGTATATTAACTGCACTCGAGACAATTTTTATCACATTTCACTAACACAGTTACAGAAAATATGTAGCTCTATATGCGATGATGTAACTCATGAAGGAATGCGTCTTCTACCATAAATAATTTATTTAATGTAAATTTAACAGAAATATAATTTGAAAGTCGGTGCATGTATGTAAAGAAATTATCCATTTTCTTAACAATATGTATACTTTTACTTTTGGGGTCCTAAAATATCAGAGATTTCGTTATAGAATAAGTATAAAAGAATTATCGTAAAATGTGTTGACCAAAAAATATCCATGTCTGATGGGCTGGCTTTGTCTTTTGGTAGAATGGAAAACCGCTAGAAGCTAAGGGCACAGCTTCCACCGAAATGTCGTTGCTTATAATTTGTTTCCAGACAACCTTAACAAAAATTCCCCCAATGGGACGTCAGTGTACGATTCCCACACCATATTTCAGAACAGTTCCCACATGATCTTTCTTTCACGCATGCACATAGGACACTGGCCAACGTTCTATTATAACGTGATACATTTTATTACATCAAAGTGGAGGGAGAGATTACCTCTATTTTAGGACGCTGTCAAACGACTTGTGTTCTGTGCTAGCTAAGTTTCGTACACTTCATTAAGGCATTACCTTTGGTCAGAATAATAAATTTAATCACATGCTTTCTTTGGAGAGATAAGCGTGTCGTGTTTGAGACATGCGCCCATGACAATATTTACCTCTTTTAGCAATATATTTTCAAAAAATTGTTGTCTCACCAAAAGTAGTTCTGGAGAGGTTCTGCTGGACGTAAAACAGACAAAAATCAAAATTAAATGAATTTCCTTGGGATTTCTGGCTCTTGCACAAACAATTATGAAGAAATCTGTCTTTAGGGATGTTTTTGGACCTGATTACTCACTCTCTCAACAGCCATTTCCAAATAAACTTCCATAAAATATGGGAACATGAGACTAATAGGCGTCGTTACACCTGAAACTGGCCTAACACTTTGATGAAAGCCGAAGATTATGGCGATGCTGATGTGCTGAACGCCAGGAACTTTCTGCCCAAGAGAGTGCCACTGATCAAAGAAACTTACTCTAAGAGCTTCTGAATAATGCAGTTACAGTTTACGTCTGATTAGCATTACCTAGTAATTTGGCCTTTGCTTTAACGATACGGCCTGACCGCAACATCGCCCTGCCTGCTTTCACTCTACCCCCTTCCTCTCACCCATTTTTCACGCGTTGTATTCAAGGCCCTGAGTAAGCAGTAAGAACCTCTGAAACGTCGGACTGTTTCTACGTCACTACACGGCGCAGCAACTGCAAGATCGCAGTTATCTTGACCGGAAATGATTCACTTCCTAGAGCATTTCGATAGTAAGTTTGTGATTATACAGTCCTGAACAAACAAACAAACAAACCATCGGTTTTCCTTGTACTTGAAACATGCGTCGCAATTGCTAAAATATCGGCTGATGACGAAGATCATATCATCGATGACTTCTGTGTTTATGTGTTCATATTTGAAGTCCATGTCAGGGATCCCGGTCCACGTGTCTTCTGCAGGGTCATAATTTTCGATTCTGCGCTCGTTTAATGTCCACTTGTTTCCTCCTGCACACACACACACACACACACATTCCGTAAAAAGATCACAGCATATAAAAATCTGCTAAAGGGAACTTAGTCTATCCCCATAAGCGGGGCCCGTCTTGATAGTCGTAACTCTGTCACCTGGCCACGAAATGTTTGGCCTTTATTGAGCCACAACATTCATTACCTTATTCACAAAAGCCTGTAGTTGAACCATTCCCACATACTCTAGTTCCATAAACATTTTAATATTATCCTTCCTTTCACACCCATGTATCACAAGTGGTATCTTACCTTCAACTTTACCAATTATAACTTTCTAGATGTATGTATTTATCGCATCTTCAAAAAACCACTTGGTCAAGTTTCCTAGGTAACAAGAATGCTGAGTAAACAGATGACGTTTCCTAGGTAACCATTGTCGATTTGTTGATATTGATCATACACATTTTTGTTATACTTTTTTGCCGAATGACCCTTCCGTATAGACGTATTTACTTCAAAATGTTGTTCATAAAATCTCAGTCACTCAAAGAAAACCAGGAAAACATTTCACAATAGCAAGTTCTGTAAGGATAGAGTTGCATCAATCAGAATGTCCAGAGTTCTCACCTGGGGCGTACAGACAGCCGTGAAACACGACGCAAGTAAACCAGTGGCGTCCATAAAGCATTGGTGCCACGAACGTCCACCGGTTGGTGTCCGTGTCATAAACTTCCACCGAGTTTAGCTCATTCGCACCATCATATCCACCAGTGACGTATATTTTGTCTCAGGCTAAAAGCTGCATCAGGTGGCTGAACAGTGAACAAACCACTTCTTCTCCAAACCATTCAAGAACAGAGATTGTTCTTGAAACGGTAGAAGATATGGTTTCTTCACCGTTCAGCCACCTGATGCAGCTTGTAGTCCAAGCGTCTTTCATCAACTTCAGTTGCCGCAAAATCTTCACTTTATACACAGATTAAGCATGTTTGAAAAAGTGTGATGAGAGGAAATTAACCTACAAATATGTTTATAACATGTTTTCTCAATTCTCCTGGTACAGAAGACCTTCATAATTCGTAATTTTCACCACATATCATTGAGATCAAATCAAGAAAGATAAGATGAACAGGGCACGTAGTAAAAACAGAGAGACCTAAGCACGGGTGGAAATATTAAAGTGAACCTTACATAAACAATATGGGAGGTGGACATAGCTGAACTGGATCAGGGAAGGGTCCAACACAAAAATTAACTTTCAAAATCTATAAAAGAAAGGCGATTTCTTAACCGGTTCAGAAACTATAGCCCTATCATTAAAAAAATATTAGTCCAACATAACCACTATTTTACTTTAAACTCAAGGAAATGAGATTCTGTCAGTTTTTTCATCGTGCACACAGTTGGTGACATAAAATATACATCTCATTAAAATCTACAACTTTTATTTAGGACATTTTGCAAAATGGTGAATATTTGACAAAATACAACAAAAATATTACTCTTTGCAGTGTTTAACTGTGGTCAGCAATAAATGAACATAAACAGAATAAAGTACAATGTACCACTCGCTTTAACAGTCTATA